ACGAGACAATCGTGCCGTGTAAATCAGCCTTTACTCCAGCTATATATCTCCGACTTTCACCTATCAAAAAACTCCTGCTAAACAAAAATACTAATAACAAMACTCTTACCTTCCACAATGCAGTGATCTCTAGMAGGCTGAAAGGACGGGTAAATCAGTGTTCCAGTCAATTGTTTTATGAAGCTTATTCTGTATCGATGCAACGTTCAATGTTAAAATCTAGTATATTCTAATCGAGGTATAATTCATTCATGTCTTAAGCGAGCGATTTTTTAACTAACACTACGATACTTACGTTTTTATACCTTACCTAAATATGATGGGAAATCCTTTAATTGAATTAGATAAAGATCTCTTTCAAGCCATTTAGATAAGAGCAAAGMAAAACAACGAGTTTGAAGTGTATAACAGAGCCGAAACACTTAGTCCGTGAAAAACATAAATAAMGTACTAAATCCGAGGATGTTTTCTATTCCTAGAGTGGAAGTACTTAGAGGTGAATCCATTAACCCGTGAAATACATTTTGATGTCCGACGCTTTTGTACTTTTTATATTTTACCGTGTTTTAGTTTGTGTTTTTTGGTTTATCGCATTTTGACTGTAGTTTTTGTACAATTCTTAGAGTCATATCCAAGAGTTATTGGAAAAACGCCATGGGCTTCCTGTGCAGATTTAACACCTTGAATTTTCGCACTTTAATTACGAAAATCGAAAAAAAGGGAAATTTAAAGTTATACTTCTTAGGTATTCCAAGTTTCTTGTCGACATCACGTTGATACCATTTTCATCAAAATGGCACCCACTTTATCCACTCCATTAAACCCATGAAACAAATCGATAGTCCAATAGACACAAAGAAAACAATGCAATGAGAGTGTAGTAAGGTGTAATATCTATTTCACGGGTTTTTTGACATAAAACTTGTYATTTCACGGATATTGTGAGTCCACTCTCTTAACTATAACCCTCAAGGAAAACCAGTCCACTAAAGTGAGAGGAAAATGTTAGCACATCATCTAACGGACCCTCAAGAGGTCTGGATCGGGGCAGGGGGTCCCAGTGTGACGTGTCTGGCACTTAAAATTTATAGTATTTGTCATTTGTCAGTTTAAGTGTTAGGCTTTTAGCAGGAATTTTCAGTTCCAAATTGAATACAAAAGTGATAGGTTATCTTTGAGGTATTTTATTAAGATGTCCGATATGAGTATCCATCCAGCACTGATATATGATATGATATGATATATGATATATGTGTTCACACGGTAGTTACAGCCTTTTGCAAAAAATATGAGAATTGTTGAAATATCTAAATATCATAATATCAAGTGCATGATCCCGCGCGATGCCCTTAGTCCCTTGTCTTTGTTGTTTAGTTTTTTTGGCGACGTACTTATCCGTAGTTCTGAACATTTTCTCGATGTCAACAATGAATTATTCTAGCAAACCCGCGTGTTYCGGACAATATATGGATATGGATATTATGATATTATGATATTTAGATATTTAGACAATTCTCATAATTTTTGCAAAAGGCTGTACTTTATGTAATACATAAATATGATTCTGTTTACTTTAATTTTGTATTTTAAGCAAATGTTTGTAGATCTGATTTTAATCTGTCATATTTTAGTATACTTTGCATTTAATAATTCATTTTCAGATTATATCATATTTTATCACCTAACCTAAGCCCAAGCCAAAAACACCTTACTCAATAGACAAATAACAGAAGCGCAGCAAGGAAAATAAAAATAGTTTTCGAAAGCAGATGCGATACCCAAACAAGTTATGATTATGGCTTTCATAAATTTACCTGGACTCCCAGCGTAATATAATTGTTAAACCTTGTACCAGTATTGAGTACCTTAACTGCCAATGACAAATTTAATCTACGTACTATAGTTCCAATTATTTAAATCACCATTATTTTCCAGAATATTCGTCCTACAGATGAAAACCTTAYTTTATGCGAGAGGAGATATTTGTATGTGTATGTAGTTTCTATGAAGTTTTCCAACAAAATCACAAATCTAAACAAAAGCATCTCACTTTAAGAAGTGCTCAAGGCTAAAAAAAATGACTATCGTTACGATATCCAAGCATTTTATCTTACATTTCCCATCTTTTAGATAGATATTCAAAGTATGTATATAATTGCCGTCTTCTAGAGAGACGCAGGTAAAAAATAAATGTTATAAAATATAAATTATYATTCTACAAAAATATACAGAAATGGTAGAGGAAAGGTAGTCAAAAATTCGACTTATCTCAGAATTCGAGAAAAGAATCGACTAAAACTCATGATACTAGTACAATGCAAACGTTACGTCACACAGCAGTGACGTCATGATACCAAAATGAAAATCATATTGCACCGCAGAATGATAAGTCTTGTTGGAAACTTGTAATAAGAATAAAGATAATACTAAATAAGTTAGCAAATGCTGCACTGTAATAATATCATGATCATAAACAAAAAGGTTTAGAAATCTAAAAAAAACTAAATTAAAAATCTGAAAACTGTATGTTTGAAACTGAAATGAYGGTATATAAAAATTGAGGGAAGAGAAGTCCAGTGTCTTACAAAGAACTTTCTTTCTCTATCGTTAATCTTGTCTCCTGATTACCATTTGGTGTTTGCCCGAGCAGTGCTGTTTTTTCAGTGGCAAGTTCTTCATCTTCTTCCGGCGAAKTCAATGCAGTATTCTGTGTTTTGTTGTTTTGATGTAAGTATCTCGATGATGAATAGGGTGAAAATCGTCCATTTCGATAACCGAAGGTGAGGTTGGCATTGAATACAGGACCTACTGGTCTGTCGAATATTGATGTGGTGTAACTTGGACGGTCAAAAATGGAATGCATTTTTGTTGGGGTGTCGTCATTAATTTGTTGTTCTGTTGAAGGACTGTCCCACTTTGAAGACAAGAGTTGGCTGAATTCCTGACGATGGACTGCTTCGTCTATTGTCAGGGATAATAAAGATTGTCTAAGTTCACTCATGCTACTTTTCACATCTTCAARAGTSTCCTTGTCATGTTCGTCAAGAAGATCATCAATGGACTCCAGAGATGCAAGGTAGCACTCTTCTTTTGTGTCGATTCCGTCTTGATTTATGACTAAAGTGATCTCATTCTCGTCCAATGCRACYTTCTTGTATTCGTCTTCTTTCGAGCTCTTCTTTTCTTTGATGTAATTTTGYGCGATTGAGAAAAGCTTCTTTCCCAAGTTGGCTATCTCATTAGAAAGGACGTTGAAGCTATTCTTAAAATACTGTGTCATGAATTCACAAAGATCAGCGTCTGCAAAATCGTCCTCGTCTTCCTGCTCTCTGGTTTCTTCGTATGAATCGTTCAGTATTGCCAAAAACATGTTTAACAGAATCATTGTCATGGATAACATGTAAACAAAGGTAAACACAGGACCAATAAATGAATCTACCGATTTTAACTCATAAAAATGCATTTCACCACCAAGAAGCATTTGTAGCACTGCACGCATTGACTGGAAAAACGATGAATACGCAGAAACTGTACCACCAAAAGCCAGGAAACCAAGTTGTGTGAAGGCGAGGAGAACAGCTACAAAAAGGATAAAAAACGACGCCATGCTCTTTGCCGATCTCACAAGAGTTCCAGTCATTTGACAAATGCTTCGATTAAAACGAATCAGACGAAGGAATTTGATAGTGACAACAAAGATAACAAGCGACAGCAAGTAAATTTCCAAATCAGACCACAAGACGATGTAATCGATGCTGGAAGTCTCATAAGGGTTATCCTGCACATTTTGCACAAAGTCACTAGTGTATTTTTCCTTGAAAAAGAACATTACGATCGCTGATACAGCACTAGTTATTTGTATTACTTCCATCCAGTTCCAAAATTGTTTTGGATACTTTCTTCCCTGTCGATATATCTTTCCAATTTCAACAAACAGGAAAAACAAGATCATGAGCATCAACATCAATTGACAGACTTGAAAGAACGACTGGAAATTTTGATCCGAAGACGAATAGAGAACAAGAGTCTTCACATTCAATCGAGCATGACTTCCCCCAGTTGGTAATCTCTCAAATAGATACTTTGCATGGCTAAATAGCGATGTTGAAGGTTCAAAAACTGTAAATTCCGCAAACACAGCAACAGTTTTATCATYAAGCCAGTTATTCATCTCTAAACCTCTGATGACGTCCAAAGCTTGCCAGGAATTATATCCGAGGTCCGCTATAAACCCACCACCATCATACGATATATCTTTTCCTTGAAAAGGAAGCGAGTTTAGCGATYGCGCACTACGGTACCTCCAAGGCTTGGGGCACATCTCTAATAACTTAAATTGCGATAATGACTTATTTAGATTGTACACGGGCTTCCAGCCAGGCATGTTGTATTCTTCTGTAAACTCATTTTGATGATYRTAGGCAGGAAGACATCGATGGAACATATGTGCGAGAAGAGGTTTGCTTTCTTCAATGGGACAGCTTATATCTGCAAGAGGACAAAAGTTTTTTATCAATTGGATTACATATTAGTTGCGTGTGACTGGTATATACCCTTCCATCACAWATAGATCCAGTCTCTTTATGTCACTTCTTTGTACCATAGACACATTCAGGCTATTTATGAATACTGTAAAGCGAGGTACAACGAAGTCAGAGAAAGATAAAATCTAGGATCTAACCACTGAAACACTTTTAAAAACAATTCCAAATAATACCTGGACGAATCCTTAGCTGCCGCAGTCGAGGCATCCCGACCATAAACACTTCACGATTGCTGAGAAAACCTTCTTCATATTCAAAAGGTTCACCGTTGTACCATTGKGTATCATACAAGGCTGGAATGAGATACGTCTTGAGCCATTTCCAGAACTTTTCATTGGTCGTGACCTGCAGCAAGATAGGTAAAAAAAKAACAACTAAAAAGTGAAAACCAAATCATACTAAGAACCTAGTACAATCTTGTGCAAAATTGTGCGAAACACAGTCTATGATATTTTGCAGAATATTGTAGCTTTAACTTTTTTTGGAGGGGAGGGGGGAGGGGGAGACAATATAACTGGAAATATGGATATCTGAATCCTATTGTAATTTTTTCCTTATTTTCTACCCGTTTCTTAGTTTTCTTACCTTGTTAAATCGTTTGGTAAGTTTCTCCATCCCGTCATTGAGCTGAAATCGTGTGACTTTTCTGTTTCCATAGCACACCACGACAACCAAGACAATAAAGATGAGGAAGAATATAATCTCCACCAAGGTTCGGAACATAGCAAGGACTTTAGTTCTGTAGATTCTCTGCTTCTCAAGCTCGGCTCCCCGTGGTGCCAAATAGCTTTTAYCTCCCTTCTCTTTATCTTTTGATAATGATTCTCCAAGAACGACATCGTTCTCTGGAGGCTTTTTGAGCACAAGCGATAACAACGATGCAATAGCGATTACTTTTATAGGCTGAGTAATAATTACATCTTGGAAAAACGAAACCATAATAGATGTTAACCACTGGTTTGATGTACTCGCTCCCCACATAAGGCTGTAAAACACAGTAAAGGTGGCAGCTGCCAAAGACGTTAAAGACGACAATATCCATCCAATATATACAAAAAAGTGTGGCAGACATCCCGGTGTCTTTGTTTTTTTACCGACATCCCCGCTTCCTACAATGTCGGCGYTATCAGGAGCGGGGTGCTTAATGTTTCTAAATATAGTTACAATCAGGATGTTCACTGGAATAGCTACAATGCTGCTCTGTATGCCAATTTTAATTTGAGTCCAGCTCATCTTTAATGGTCCTATTTGGAACGAATCCTTGGGTTCTGCTCCAAACTGATAGAACATCGCATTGGTAACCATGGCAGCAAATAGAATCGATAAACAGCAAGATAGCCGCTGACATCTAGTGAAAGTGTTGTGTGGAGGGCGAGTAAAGACCGACAGCCACAGATGGCCCTCTCCAAGACTGCGAGCTGTTCTTGAGTAAAATAAATTCCTAAATCCTGAAAGATCTTTYTTTTCTGCTTTTGGAATTTCTAATTCGATTTTGCCATCTCCTTTCTCCACAGCAAGCCATCTGTTCGCCAGAAAGTGYGATTGTTGGGCTGTTTCYACATCGACAATGAGAACTTGATGGAAAAACCATGCTGGATTATTACCCGAATTGTCGTGCCAAATCTTGATCTTTAATAATTCGCCTAGTGATTCTGGTACAGTGATGGTGAAGTTATTTAAACTTCCTCTCGCGAAGAAATCTTTATTGAGATTTTTATCTGTTAACATAATTTCTTCCGTCCTTCCGTCTTCACCGTATATGATTATTCCAACATTCGCTGTAGTACCATATCCTCTCCACATACCAGTTTGTATAGATACTTGATAAACATAGCCTTCTTGGAGTTCCCCTTGAGATAAGAAAACGTTGGCGACAACCTACAACAAAACGTAAAGAAAACTTAGTATTGCTTCAGGAATGACTCTCTTTCACTGTTCCCTGCGCCATCTTGAAAGATAGTCGTGCCTTTGCATCGAATCGAGAGGACCGTTGAGAGCGCAATGATAAAATACTTCTTTAGCGCCTACAGACATTCTTTCAAAGGTATCTATCACTGCACGCTCAACGAGAGTCTCATTTCGGCTCAAAGGCACGCCGCTACCTTTCAAGATGGTGCAAGGAAACATGAAGAAGACTATTTTAACAAAGATTTTCTTTCAACGCTATGCTTGAGAAAACATACCCTCATTTCGTCTTTCTTGTCCGCCTTTCGCGCAAAGACGAGACCGACGAAGTATAAACCAAACAATCCACAAACGGTTGCGAGAACAACAAAGTTTCCAGACTCAGCAAGATTTCCAAATTCAGCAAACACCTTGTCAAAGTCAATGGGATTTGGAGCTACGAAGAAATCTCCACCAAATGCAGACAAGTGAGTACAAAGACAATGAAGCTTGCTTGCAACGGATTTGGGACCAACCTGAAAGGACAACAAGTGAGTGCGTATGACCAACCGGCAGTTTATATGGTTAGTGGCTGTGTGGTGTGGTGTTTTGCATGTAGTGAATATAGTTTTAACAGGTCATCAGTCTTTAGTTTGGTATGTATAGGTTGGTGTGTGAAACATTTATAGTTTATAATCATCTCGGTCTGTTGCATACAAGTTTTGCGAGGATTTCCTACCTTACACCCCTCACTTGTCCATTTAGATACTTTTTCAGACCAGTACAAGCATGACGTCACACTGACTGACATGGTGTAATTCACATCAGTAGAAGCATTGTATTGTGGTATAATAATGAGTGGGGTTGGTGGCATTGTTGTAGGAGGGGTTTTTACTCCAACACAATCTCGCTTCATCCGACCGTTATGGCTGTAGCAATCCCGTCTAACTCGTGTAATCTCGTTTKCGCTAGCTGAGGATTCTGTCGGGCCCATTGCCCTCAACCCAGTGTACCGCACTCCGATATAATGAACACCTATACCACCAGTGACTGCACTTGATAAGGTTAAAGTGAAAGGGTCATCCGTGCAATTTATGTACTCTCCCTGATCTGAGACATTGCATTTAGAGTAATCGGGGACGATTTTCTTGATGTCATATTCTTCTGGTGTTGGCTTTTTTGCGTGTCGTACGTATACCTCAAGGCTAGATCCGTCTTCTGGCTCAATCTTAACTGTAACCGCCACCTCGTCGGACTGTATCGTTATTTGATGACTTCGAATGTTTTTCTTTCCAATGCTTGGTTTTGCAAAGTAGATAGTATCGTTTTCATCCTTTGGCTTATCTTCTACTTTCTGAGGAATATATAACTCAATTGGTTTTTCGAGTCCTTTGACTTCAAGTGCTTTTCCACTGGTAGACTTTAACGTAAATTCGACAACCGATGATTTGACATTTTTTGAACTTTCATCCCAAGTAAAAGGATTGTTGTTGAAGGCAGTCATCTAGAAGAAAAAGTTACATTTCAAATGTAAGTCATTTGAATGTAATATAGYATATTACATTCAAATGACTCTAAATTGTAATTGTGCCTACAATCATTATCATTCTTGATCCCCATTGAATCAAAGCTTAACTTCAACAAATGCGTTACTTCGACAATCTCTGAAATAGCCCTTCTCAAGCATATAGACCCATAGAAACGTTTTTATTATTTACCTGTGAATCAACCGCAGACATATCATCAGAATTACCAAACAGTGATCCAGCTGATGGTAATGCAACCTCACTATCCCCCTCTCCGAGTTTTTTGTCACCCATCTTTGACGGTAATTGTCTGTCCAGCAATAGAGCGACTTCTTTTGTTTTGAATACACTTGGTTTTTCACCGACAGTTTTTGTCGATAAAAGACTTCCACCAACTGTGTCCATCATTTTTAATGTCTGCTGGGCCATTTCCTTGCTCTGTTGTAGCATCAAAACATATTGTTACAATTTATGAAGCTCTTCAGTTGAGCATGCTGTAAAATTATCTATTTTAATATTATCCTACGCTAGTATCGTATATTGTAAAATTATTTATTCATATATATTTATTCACATACAGCCTTTTGCAAAAATTATGAGACTTGTTGAAATATCTAAATATCATAATATCAAGTGCATGATGGGTAATCGCGCGCGATTCCCTTTGTCCTCTGTCTTTGTAGTTTAGTTTTTTTTTTCGGTGGTGACGGACTTATACGTAGTTCTGAACATTTTCTCGATGTCAACAATGAATTATTCTAGCGAACCCGCGTGTTCCGGACAATATATGGATATGGATATTATGATATTTAGATATTTAGACAATTCTCATAATTTTTGCAAAAGGCTGTACACTATTYAATATTGTAAAATTTGTAAATATAGCTCGATAATTGCTTTTTTTACTGCAAAAGAGTTTATTAAACCATTATTATTATTGCTTTCCTGGCTGTAATGACATTAGTAACAATGGAAATAACTACTTTTATGTTCCAAATTGAAGACAATCTCCTCGATRGAGTAAAATGATCATCTTGGCCTTACCTTTTCTTTCTTAGAGTCTTTTTCCTTGTTGGGTTTTCGTTTATCCTTTTTGGCTACCWTTGCTTCAGCGGATGATGCTGTCATCAGATTCCCAATTCCATGGAGAAGACTAGCGCCAACYTTTTGAAGAAGTTCTGGRTTTGCATTCTTTTGACTAGCCATAAAACTTGCAGTATTAGATAAGAGATTGATTGCATTTTCCTGTTAAGGAGAGAAAAAGTTTTTTTTTACATTTTTTGGAACATCGCAAAMATATTGCCAATGCTTGTATCTACGCTTGTATAATGTATAGTTTGTTTCAAAGARAGGTAATGSAAAAKATTTAAAATAAGRGTTGTGAACTYTTYGGGWGTAAATCCAATGTTTCACTAACTTGTGAGTCTTGCGATATTTCATCACTTTCACCAGTTGCCATTGCAACAACTTGTGCAACTTGAGTGACTTGCTCTAAACTCTCCACTTTGACCTTGGTGATTTGATTGATAATTCCTTCCTTCAACTGTAATATTAATGTTAATGTTATCTTTTACGACTGAATTGGAGTTAAAAGTAAAGCAAGGAAAAAGAAAAGCATTGAAAAAGGTCTGGAAGAGAATAAGATGAAAAGTAGTTCTTAATCTGTAAATTTTACTGCAACAAAAAGCTGCAATTCATTTGCAAAACGTTTCTTAATATTGGTAGTGCTTTGTCAAAAATCATTCACAATAGCAGTGTTTTTGATAGCATTTGTCTGCAAATACTGGATAGTTTTTAAAGGTTTTTACAAGATCAAAGCGCTGCAGCTTCGTCAAGGTAAGGAAATCCTGCATAGGGAACGACATGTTAACAAATCTCGAATCCTGTCAGATCGTTTCTAATGCAGGATTTCCCTACGATGACGTAATGCATGAGCCTTCGTATTAGATTACATTATATAAGCGGAGTATTATATATTAAATTAAGTTTAATTACAGCCAATAATTCGGRAATAGTGATAGTTGCTTATTGTGCCTAAATTTGGTGTCTAGTATTCTACAACTTGTTTAAACAAGTTTTATAAAATCTTACTGCTGAGTAGTACGCATGCGCATGGTTTTACATGTGCTTAAGAAAAACATCGTATCAATTTTTTTGCTAGTTAATCATGCCAGATACGATTATGGTGATTGTATTAATAGTCATCAAGCGCTTTCTTTGCGGGCGAACCAGCAAACCCTTTCAGTGCTTAGTGCTCTTCGATTGTCATGCAGAGATGTCGTCCATTCAGTCTGATTCCGTCTTTACTTACTTTCTTGACGGAAGACTTGCTAACTTTTAACTTATCGCGCATATTAATCTGTAAATCAACGGTTAATATTTCCTTAATAATCAAACGAAGTGAATCCGGCTTGTGTTCCTCTGAGAAAACCCATCGGTTTAAGATTCGTGACGCATAAACTTGAATAAGCAAACTTTCTTGGAAGTATCTTCGGCATAATTTCTTGAACTTTGAAGCGCCAGTATTCCGCGTGTTTTAAATGGTTTTTGGTATTTTTTAGTATATATGATATTGATAGTTAATATTTTATTTTAAAAAATAGTGCCAACGTTTTTCATGTTATTTCGTTTTGTTTTGTTTTGTTTTGTTCAATGCTGAAATTTATAAATAGAGCCGTTCAAATTGTAAGTCGACTTTATAAAACGTTGGCACCCTTTTTAGTATTGCTATTTTTAATGATAAATAAAAATTTTAATTTCAGTTATTTTATATATTATTKTATTGAYCTAATTTAGATACTAATGCAAATTMGAACCGAGTAATTATTAARAGGAATATTGTATACGAACCGATTTTTTATCTTCAGACCCAAGTTTGCCGTCTGACTGGTCCACTAGGGATAAAACAGCGCACGCCATTTGAGTTGCTTTACTAACATCACCCGACTTAAGAAGATTCCCCATTGCACTGTCTTTGCCATTTGTCATCGATTTTAAAGTGTTGCCAACATTGGCGGCCTTCATTGGTTTTACCTATTACGAAAACAAAGAACGTTATTCCAAATTCCAATTATGCCTTACTTCCACAGTAAGGCACTGCGGGGCAAGGGGGAAGAGGAAAGGGGGATGTCTTTTTTTTGGGGGGAGGGGGGGAAGGAGATTCTATTTCCTTTTTATTTGCTTCTGAGAAAATGTGTAAAATTAGGTTTTACGATCTTGCTTAAAGCTCCTAAAGTGCTGCAAAATCGCATTTCGAGTTCAAAATTTCAAAAGTTCCTACCCTTCCCTGCTTAAGCCGGTGGTCGTTAAGCCCTCTCTCACCCCAAAGAGTGCAAAGCTAATCGAAATGAAGTCATTTGAGTATCACCTACCGTCACTGGTATAAAATCCATATAAGGAGCTCCTAATGCATCGTAAATTATAACTTCAATAAGAATTTCATAATTTGTTGATGGGTCTCCAAGAGGAAGGCGTGTTGTRATACTGTTGCTTAAAGTYCTATCAACCACCACCATTCCATAAATTGTGTGATACCTAAAAAATATAAACATCCTTCGTCGTGATATGAACATCTATAAAGTGCACTACCGGACCTGCATGCATTCATAGCACTAGTGTTACACCGTGCAACTTTCTCACGAATTTGTCTTTTTGAGAACTGCACAGCGTGAAGTTCTGTTGTTTTAATAGTCAACTTTAGATATTTTGGTTCGATGACTACGTATAAAAGAACGCACAAGAGGCTCCCGGGAAAACAATGGATAATCTTGATTTATTCTTATATTTCCTCGGAGCCTTGTCTGCAATAGACCGAATCGGCTTCAACCCAATTCAAACCACTCGGGAGAAAGTTTCATTGTTCGTTGTATTTTCATTTCACAGTTGAATTCTTAGAAAGAAAAGTTCTTTTTCCTACAGGATTTGAATTGGGTGGCAACGCACATAGCAACGCCGTTAGCCGATTAGGTCTATTCTTTTGTGCATGGTCATTGAACCCAAATATCTAAAGTCGGCTATTCTTGCGCATAGATCTTCACGAAAACTAAGATCTATTCATCTCCGATTTTATTTCCAACTGTCTTTCGCCCGRAATAAACTCCCTCTAAGCACTAAATTCTTATTCATCTCAGCAACTTGAAACGCTATTGCCTTGGGAGAACTAAATGGATACCACATCAACTATCACGCTCTCTATCCTACCTGAATTCATACTCCARAGGCAAGTCATCRTCCATGAACCCAATACACGTGACGTTGTACAAAGTTGTCACGGCACTCCCTTCTTCCGGCGTGATGTAACATCCTTCATCATCTGAAAACCCTTCCATGTATGGCTTGGAATTAGTGAAGAACTCTATCTCGTTCGCTTTCTCAACGGTACCATCTTGYAGCGTAACAAAACTTGTCACCCTAGAAACAGTGAATAGTCATTAATATCTAGCATACCAACACAATAGATAAGGATAGTATCGTAGTTTTTAGGGGGGATGGAAGGGGGAGAGGCACTCTACTTTTTTTCATGGAAATCTGCTTTGTCTGCGTAATATATAAGTCGATAAATATTATATAATTCTCAATAAATTATTCTTAAAATTCATGATACATACTTGTACTCAGTTTCCTCGAAAAGAGCCTCCTCAAATATTCCTGTTGCACCTTTAATAGAGAAAGACGGACTGTCTAATTCTGTAAGGAGTTTACCCTGAAGGTCTTCTTCCATCCATCCAGCATCAAGCTCAAACGAATCTTTATAGTACAGCTTCCAGTTATAGGATTTGATTARTTTACAGGCTACACCTACACAGTCCGAGACAAATGTCGTTCGCATACCAGTTGTCACTTTTATACCACAGTTAACTTGGCATCTGAAATGGAGACCATTCTGTTTATTTAAATCAAATGTTGATTGTCTGTCGAGATACCTTGATCCTTCTGAAGGACGTTCGTCAGTGACAATCTTATTCTTATTAAGGACCTGTTTTCATACAAGTTCAGACTCGTACCCAATCGCTTCTCCCGCTGTTTTAACCGTCGCGCGGTGTATCAAGGGAACGATACCCAGTTTCTTTATCCTTTAAATTAACCCCTTCAAGAGTAAACGATAAGGACTGGGTATGAGTTTGATACAAGTAACGTGACCGTGATGTCCGAAACATTCTCTTCATCAAAACTTTAAGAGTTTCTGCACGTATTTACTATCAAGTTATTATTATTATATTATATATATTTTAATATCCACCGAATCGAAAAATGCAAGACCAATTGTCYCCTTTATTACTTGCGCCATCCTGAAAGGTAGCCATGCCTTTACATCGAAGYGAGACGACCGTTGAGCGTGCAATGTTAGATACCTGTGAATAATTGTCTGTAGGTGTGAAAGAAGGTTTCTATCATTGCGTGCTCAAAGGTCGTCTCGCTTCGATGCAAAGGCACGGCTACCTTTCTAAGTGAAGCATGTACTTTAGTATTTTAGGGGTCACTTCGTTGAAAACATTTGGGTGGCCATTTTAAAAGGTCAATTGGTTCGTCATTTTGTGAATCTGTTACCATACCGTATTTTATATGATAATGAAGAGTTCAGGTAAACTGTGTGATCTATCTTGGTTTCCCTTGTGTCTGAACTGACAATTAGTTGAAATACGTAAGTTTCTCCTACTTYCATATAAGGTGTTGGTACTCTTAAAATCGGTTCAGTTGAATTCATTTTGCCAGGGCCAAATCCAAAACAACCTCCTTTATCCCTTTCTTGTGAAGACATCCCATCAATAGCATAACTCATGTTGATGTTACGAAACGTTTCATTAACTCGACGACATAGCCACGTGTAGGTTAACGCCCTTGGTGGCAAGCTTGGGTCATATGATTTTGACCCATCCAAAGAGAACGGTCCAACGCCTTTTAGAGCAACAGTAGGGCCTTCAATCTTAACAACTAAAGGCGGCAACTTCACATGAATAAATCCAAAATCAAAGTTCGTCGTCCCTTCTTTGCCTCTCATGGAGACACTTAATCTTATGTAATGAAACCCCAGCTTCCAATCGCGCACACTTATATTTAATGACCGCAGCCCACTTCCAAACGTTCTTAAATTCGAAAGTTGTTTTCTTTGTACATTAACGTGGGATCTATCCCATAATATCAGAGTTGCCTTTGTTAAATTACAAAGTATATGAATTTCACTCTTTACTTGTAATCTGTCAATCGAATAAACTACTTTTGCTTTTGAAATGTCTGTATTTAAGTTGATGGTGACGTTTGGTGGTCGACACATGTAATCCTCTGCAAGAAAATCGTGAATATAGCAGTCATGTTTGCATTGAAGGGAAGAAATAAAAGGGATTTTATACAGCACACATAGCCTAATCCTCAGGCAGCCCACCCTTTTGGTTTCCTTTACATTGGGTCAGGGGTGGATCCAGCTGGTGGGTGCAGGGGKTGTRCAACTCCTCCTGAGATCTGTGTCATTCAATACTTTTCTTATTTTGTATCTTTATGTAATGAATGATTTTTGTGGGGTGCACCCCCTCCTGAGAGTCCCGCACCCCTCCCTGAGAAAAATMCTGGATCCGCCCTTGTGGCTTTCCTAGTGTGTTAAGACAAAAATTGTGTATTGGGGACGTCAAAACAATCAAAAGATCAAACGCACGATCTTAAATGCCGTTTACACTTGCGACTTAGCGCGATTGTCGCGCGACAATCATTACTTTGCTCTCGCGCTGCAAAAATCGCCAGTGTAAACGGGCCTTAAAAGGCTCCCATTAGCAGTAGATGTCTAACATGGCTTGGTTTGAGACGTGGGTGACTTAGCACGATTGTCGCCCGAAAATAACTACTTTGCTCTCGCGCTGCCAGTATAAACAGGCCTTAAGGCTCCCATTACCCGYAGAAGATGTCTAACATGGCTTGGTTTGAKATATTTTTGTATTTTTATTATATACAAATGGGATTTTGCGAGAAAACTTACTTGGRTATTTTACTTTAATGTAGTCTGGGTCAAAAAGCTCTTGGGATTCTTGCGAAACTGCGCTTTTCAGAGCGGTTGTGATGTAATGTACGCTTGCTTCAATGCAATCAATTTTYACATCCGCAACCAGTAGAACATCTCCAAACAGAGAACTTTCCGGCCTGTGTAAGGTACAAGAAATCGTTATCGTTATAGCATATTTTTACTGATGCAAGAAAGCTGAGTGTATAATACAGGCAACTCTCGCTATTACGGACACCCTCGGACCGTAATTTAGTGTCMGCTGTAGCGAGATTCCGTAGTACCGAGAGTAACTTTCAGTCGTTTCTTTGTATTTTTCTCCGAGGATTCAGTATTTTGTTGTCCGCAATATCGAGGTGTCCGTTGTAGCGGGGTGTCTGTAAGGCGCGAGTTGACTGTAGTTYGTTTCACGGTTCCCAGCGCCAYATTGAAAGCTAGCCGTGCTTTGCATCGAAGAGAGACGACCGCTAAGAGTGCTCTGATAGATACGTGTGAATAATCTTCTGTAGGTGCAAAGGAAGGTTTCAATCATTRGACGCTCAAAAGTTGTCTCACTTCTACTTTTCTTTTACTTTCCTTTTTTCTCTTCAGTTGTCTCACTTCTACTTTTCAAGATGGTGACGGAAACCGTGAAAGAGACTATTCATGAGAGCCRTAAATGAAGACATCAAACAATACTTACCAAAATCGTTCCACTTTTGCGGAAAGAAAACCTGGGATTTTTTCCAGCACGTAATTGACCTAGATAACATGATATCAGTAGAATAGATTAGAACTGAAGGCGAGAAGTAGAAAAAAGACGAAGACTTGACGAACAAGAACAAGTGTCTCACTTCTACTTTTCAAGATGGTGACGGAAACCGTGAAAGAGACTATTCATGAGAGCCGTAAATGAAGACATCAAACAATACTTACCAAAATCGTTCCACTTTTGCGGAAAGAAAACCTGGGATTTTTTCCAGCACGTAATTGACCTAGATAACATGATATCAGTAGAATAGATTAGAACTGAAGGCGAGAAGTAGAAAAAAGACGAAGACTTGACGAACAAGAACAAGATGTAGAATGAGATGAAAGAGCTTGTGGTGGCCACCAGGTTGTTTTCTTTTGCTGCGTGGCTCTGATAACGTACAATATAAATGAAACGAACTACAAAATCGGGCTGACAGACACTATCTATGAACAGCCCCTGTAACGTGGCAAGAACGAAGGCAATGAAGGCAAACGGAGGAAGAACAAGGTCAAGAAAACAGTAAGAACACGCACGATAGAGAAAAAAAGTATCAAAGGCAGAAAAAGAAGGGAAAGAAACAAAAAAAAATGGGTATCAAAAAGAGAAGAAGACAAACAAAAAGAACTTTGAGTACAACATTTTACCTCTAAGATTGTGTCTTCTTTTGTAGATCCATATAGTGACGACTCAGAGTCTAAGAATTCCATCCGAAAAAATGACCCACGCATTTTCAATGAGACAATAAAATAATACCCTGTGAATAAAAAAATGTGACTATTTTGCATCAACTTTCTTTGTGCACTAGTTGTTCCATGGAGGCTTTCTTGGTATTAAAGGATGGTATGGACAAAAAAATCTGTTTTTTTTTTTAATCATAAATATTAAAAAAAGAATGGTATGGACAGAACGTGGTGTAATGTGTTATGATGATGCGGTATACGGTACACGGTACGGTGTGGTGTGGTGTGGTGTAATGGTATGGTGTGATGGTATTGCGAGTACGGTATTATTTGTATGGTTTGGTATATTTCATATGGCTTGTTATGGAATCATACCGGTGTGGTAAACTGGTATGGTATGGTATGATGACGTAATATGGTATGTTGCGTGATATGGAATCATACCGGTGTGGTACAGTACTGGTATGGCATGGTATGATGACGTAATATGACATGTGGCGTGATATGGAATCATTACCTGGCTTGCATCCATAGAGCTCCATTCGTAATGCAAAATTCTTATTATAATCTGATGGCAATGTGGCGTGATATGGAATCATTACCTGGCTTGCATCCATAGAGCTCCATTCGTAATGCAAAATTCTTATTATAATCTGATGGCATAAGCATTATACTCTGTACAACGGCTGGTATTGGTACCTCGTTTCGCACCACACCATTCCAGTTTTTATTACCGTTGAAAATCTGAGTGTCGAAAAGATTTCTTGTTATACAAAGGTCAACAAACAATAATGTTTTTACATTAAAAGATAAACTTACACAAAGAATGTGTCAAAGRGGTGGGAATATGCCAGAACAAGTGGAAGTATTTTCACCCAGATCAATTAGTCATGTTGCAATTAAAATTTAATCTTCCGTTATGCACTGATATTGGGCAATAGATAACACCAACTGATTGCACTGTCAATATACCATAACAAAAACAAAGTACTGCCACTTGGCAGATATTCTAGAGCTTTCGATCGATGACTGGTTTGTCTATCGGTAAAATAAACACGAGAGAATTTTCAAAAAGTTTTCATTACAAGTCCACACCTAAAAATAAAGCTTTACTACTTTTTCGWATTTTTTTAGCWTTTTCAAAAAATGGTGATTTCTTAGTTTATTCCTTCGTCTTATGCTTGTGCTTACGCTTACGTTGACGTCTTTCACTTGTGAATATGTTTCTTTATATTTTACTGCATATGCTAAAACCAAATTGTTTAGTTTGTTCCTTCTTCTTATGCTTGCGCTTACGCTTACGTTTGTGAATATGTTTATTTATATTTTACTGCTTAATGTTTACATCAAAGGCTTTAAAATAATCCCTTAACAACACAGTATTGAATGACAATTTATAGAATGACAAAAACGAGTCCGAGGAAGGATAACATCGTAAAATCCAAAATTTGGATTATAAACGAGACGTATTGTTATTATTATTATAAGCTATTTACTTTCCTTTTAAAAGGAGCTGAGGTAAGGATTTACGATCAGCAGGCCTGCACACCTGCTATTCATCCGAATATCTGTCTCGTTTTCTTGACTTAAAAACGCTTAAAAACCAATAGCGTGACAATGAAGGCAACCTATATGATATTTCTATCTTCTTCTATGCATTTCAAAGTTTTATTATTATASAGAAAGTCAAATATTCTAGACGAAAACGTAAACAAATTCAATAACGAGACGGGATAGTACGAATAACAAAGGCWACTACAGAGTTAATAACAGTGCTTAAATGGAGTAGCGGTCAAGGACACGAGTGGTTTAGTCGAGAATTTTCCTTTGATTACAAGTCAAAATAAGTTCCAAGATTTCWTGATTTGTCAACTATGTCACTGATTTATGAACCACATATACTATAAGCATCTACCAGCACGAGTAACCTCAAGCACTGCWACAYAGGACTATTGTCCTCAATTTTCCTCTCCATGAATATTTAATGAMGGTTATTTTAGCAAATAAAGTTAAAAATCCAATCCTGATAAGACAACATGTATTTATTCAACAACTAAATACAGAAATTGCTTCAAAAGATCCCGTCTTACWATTCGTTCATTTGATTTCTCACTTAAGTAAATCCATTTACGTTAGGTGAAACGCCCAACTGAGATGCTTTGTCTAACGAAATAATAACATTGTGAACTTAAATGAAACAAATTTGAGAATTACTAGCTATCTGTGGTAATTAAAACAAAGTTAAGCACTTTTCAGTGATATATAGTCTTGTTAAAGTGTCTGTTTCCTTTCATCGCAAACCGTTAACGTATTCTTTGAKTTAAGTCAATGAAAATCTCGTCAATAAACGCACAAAATACCCACACTTAGCTTTTGTTATGAAATACTTACATCGAAATAATGATAGTTTTGATAACAATAACATTATAAAAAGTATGTATTATTTGGGTATTTTTAAATGGAGTTTCCATTTAATATACGGTTGTGTTTTTGCCAATCATTCTACCTTAGTACCTGCTACCCCCCGTCGTATTATTTTTATAAGCTACCGCTTTTACATTTCAGAAAACCCATACAGCCTACATCACTTCATTATTTAGGATTTTCATCAATACCTTTTAGACTAGCTCTTAATTTTCTACAATAGGCTTATCTTAAAATGCATTCATATTTATGGTTTGTAGGAAGGAATAGTGTAAAAAGTTGCCAAAACGAACAAAAAATAGAAAAATATTCGTGTATAAACTTCAATGTATGCTGATTGTTTTTTAAGTTATTAGAAAATGCAGAACAAAATTAAATTGACGAGGATTTTTTAATTTAGCTTCGGTCTGTTTTAGATTCTTTTTTCCCTTGGGAAGAATTCCAAAATTAAGTTTTCAGAAAAAAAAACGCTTTGAAGTTCAGAAATACTTTTGCGCTGATCGGTCTTATAAATATTTTTGCAAAACAAAATAGTTAGTCATATAAATTCATAAAAATAATAACATAAAATGAAATAAAACGAAAGGAAAAAGTGAAAAATAAGATGAAAAGAAAAAAAATGGCCATCATTAATGTCATAGCTCTGCTGCAATAGTTTCAMATTTCTAAGAGTGCAAGGCAAACCGCAAATACATCTAACGCTTGAACATTGTTTATCATTTCCAATCTTTAAACCGATAGCCTTTATAGAATACGTACCTTTAAGCCTCCGCTTTGGTCTTTAAAAAAGAGATAGTCCTCACCAGTGGAATATAATAACATGTATTTTGTAACCCATTCTGGRACCTTGGCATCGCCATAACCCTGTGTTGCAATTCCTGTRATAATCATCTTTTCTTTGAGTTCTATTTTCAACCACGAGGACATGGCCTGATGAGGATCGGCTCGATGTCCTGGAGGCCATGTTGTTAAGCCAAGACGAGCTCTCTGTGCTCCATAAGTATTGAAATCATTATTAAACGACGAAAATGCTGTTATTTGTTCGTCTTTGATTTTACCACTTGCCATTCCTAGGGGTTCTTTACACGCCGCTGTAAACAATCAAACACAAACAAATGTAAGTACAGGAAAACATTTACTCTCTCTTTATATTAAAATATCAATCTTCTCGACGCTTGGATGATATAACAACCTGTGACTAACTCCAGTGGAACTTTCCGGAATCCAACAAGCTCATGGAATTGGAGGCATACTCCGAAAACAATCACTGGCAGTAGCAGTCCCATTTTGTATCAAAGTAGCGCTTGCTTTCCTTCAAGTACCGCTATTGTATTGCCCGGAAGCGTTTAAAAGGAATCAGTATGAGAAAGATAACATATTAACAGACACGACCACCCACTGCATACAGAATTCATACACAAATATGCGCGAATCAGAGCTGACGCAGCATACCGCTGACCCAAGTTAAGATTGATATTGTTTGAAAACCACAACTAGTTGACAGTGAATGAAAACAAGGATTTAATAACCATCAAGTAATAGGTCAAAATATAAATAAATAAGTTGAAARGAAAAACCTGACTCGAGGTTCKTTTCCAAACACTTTACCGACTGCATGCTTGCATTATTTAAAACAAAATTTGAATTCTTGCTGGAAAAAAAGAAATTCTTAGTGTGCCAGCAGTCGCCTTCACCAATTAGGTACATATGGGTATTCAAAATAATTTGTTTTAATATAGATGTGGTCGCGTTATTCAATTAAATCGGGARATTTCTTCAAAACATTGTAAGAAATAAACGAACTCGTAAAAATATGTTCACAACCGCACGCGTAATGACAGCACCACTAACAGGGGGTAGGGTAAGTATTCTTCCAAAGAAAGTACTTTTGCCGCACAAGTTAAAAAAAGAAAACACAATTTGAACTTCTTATTCTAATACGATTTTCATGATAACTTCATGAATCAATATTTCATAACAGTAACGCGGTTTATTTGCATGAAAAAGGTGGGGAATACAATGTACAACAACTACTATCGTCTTTGGTGTATGGTATATCGATTTTATAGCAACTTTAACACTTTAAGTCCAGATATGTAACAATGAAAAAGAATCAGCTGTCGAGTTTTTTAAATGAAACGGATAATTTCCGTCTGGGAACTGTTTGTGAATGGTTTTATGGCCACGAACATAAAGAACTATTCCAAAAAGWACTTCAATGGCCAAGTACAAAATTCTATGGGGTTCTATGGTCAACAGCATAAAAATATTCCCGTTTTTTTAATTCTCCATTACAATAGAATAGAGCAAGACGCTCAGATTTGAGACACGCGGCATAAGAATACTACGAAAATAGGCGCTATGTTTGAAACTTCTAGATAAAAWAAATTCATAGTGGGACTCTTAAGAAATATGATTTTAATTTCTKCATAGGTTGACAGGGCTTTGCTCTTCAAAACCAAACAAAATATTAAAAATTAAAAAAAGAGAAAGAGAGAAAGAAAATCAATTAATTTTAGTCACTCGGTTTCTCAGTTTTACAATTATAAAATATCTTGCCTCAGTTGGAAATGGCGAGAATTTATACAATACACCGCCAAAACATTGAACAAGCAGATCATTCTTTCACAAAGAGGAAATCGGCTAATAAAACCTTAGCACTGACAAGACTTTTTTATTAATTTGAAGAAGGAAAAGTTTAATTATTAAAACCAAGACAAGGAGAGATATTACTTGGTGTGTTTTATCTTAATATTTAGAGACTCTTGGCGTGTTTCTCCTCTTATTCAGACTTTTCCAGATAAGTCACTCAACGTTTTCTCTCCTAGGAAGGACAACAGCATGGTTCCTCTCACGCAACCCATCTAAGTCAAGTGGTACCTGCGGAGGATGCTRCTACTTGTGCTGTCTCATGTCAAGCCCAGTGAAAGTCGCGCGATAAATTGACCCTTTTCCGAAATTCAAAAGGTGACTGGGAACGAGTATAAAAATAGTCCAATTATCGAAATTGGAACCTCACCACATGAAAGACCACAATACATTTAGYGTTTTTTTTTCCTAGTTTGAGTCCATTTGGTTGAACACTCAGAAAGGAACCAATCGCCTTTGAAATTTTCAAAAATAAGAGAACGCTGCCCTAAATCTCCATACATTATTTTGTTGTTGTTTAGAATTGGTGCGGCACGTTGCATCTCACATGTGAAGTATACGTCTTGAAATATTTCGTATGAAAAATTCGTCTGTGTTGGAAAACACATTGACCGCGAGGAGATTGGGATTTATATTGAACATTTATAATTTGACGTTTAAGTCAAATGCCGTACTTATCATTTTTAGATTGATTCGATTTGTACTCGACACATGTGAGGTTCGGTGTCTAACCTTAGGCTTGAATTAATCGTTCTTTTGTTCTGTACCAACAAATATTATTAACTAAAAATCCTTTTAACGCACGATCAAATGAAAACGGCCGATACTACAGCAATTAGTACTTAAYCGCATTTCTGTATCACATATAGCTTAATAATAGCTTAATGATAATGATTGGATCAATAACAATAACAATAATAATCTATTAATAAATCATAATGATAATATTAAGTAAATAAAATAATTAATTATAATATTAATAAAAATCAATATCTTTCTAATGGTAATATCACTACGCATTTCAACTTTTTTAGTACAGGAATATAACAAATTATTGTTGTCATAATAATACTTAATAATAATACTGATCATGAAACAAATAGAGGATATTACATGGGCGAGCGGAGATACGAATTTTATCTTCGAGTGTTGAAAAGATTTCTCACGAATGAACGTAGCGAACGAGTGAAAGATTTTCAACACGAGAAGGTAAAATTCGTATCACCAAGCGACCATGTAATATTCTGTTTATCATATAACTACATATGAAAGCAAATTATGTCGCAAAAACACTTTTTTCCTTACTTCCACTATATAGAGAAACCTCGAATGTGTTATTTTCACTAGTGAAAATATCAACTTTACGAAATGGAGGAATATAGGTATATCATAGATAATTATATGATAATACTGAGGARTTATACAGCACACAACAAGTCGTTCCATAAAAAAATCAATTATTTGTTAAGAGCTGGCAGGTGATTGTGAATTAGCCGKGGGGTATCGTTATCTAAACTCTTACCTCCGTCATTAACACTGCCATTTATTACACATCGGCTATAGATGTTGCAAATGTTATGCATATCATTGCATGCATGTGCATAAGCTTTTTTTGAATTTCTAATACGCCCATGCTAATTTTTATAGTTATAGTTTTCTAATGTTATAATATCGATATCAGTTTATAGCGTAATGAATCAAATTATTGTAAATTATTGCCTAGTTTTCAGCGGGGAAAATGGGATATAGCTCAMGGGCTTAATCTCAAGAAAGCAATCAAATAAACTAAAAAAAGGAAAACCCTGATTTTAACGGTTTTTCCCCTCCTTTTTTATAATAATAGCAGCAACAACAATGTCAAATATACAAAACCCTCGTACTGTTTGCTTAGAAGATCGTATCAAGTAGAATTTGTGGACGTTATGATAACCGAAGTATCCAGAAAAAAAGGCTTTTGTTGCAAAGCAATCGTACAGTTATAAATCAAATCTTGTTGACGAATCGATTCCTTTGATTAAACAAGTAATATTTTTAATTAAATTGGCAAGTATTGATCCGTACATAAGACCCATTGACTAGCATCCTATTACTGCGTTTTGTATCAGTAAAATCAGCAAAAATAAAGCTGTTTAATTAACAGATAAAAACAATGGTTTAACATCTGAATCAATGTCAAGTTATAATTGTGACATGGATAAGGGAGATGTTACAACAACCATGACTACAAATCATTAATTAGCGCTTTAAAATTAGAACCAGTAATACTAGATTAGAAATTTTATACTTGTGGAGGTTTTACCTTTTGGAGAACGATTGAATAATAACGAAGGACTAGCCATCAGACAAAGTAAAAAACCGTACATTTGAAACACATACACCAAATGACGAAGTGTCGCACTGTTTTTTCTCAYGATGCTCTTCTGTATGTTACTCATGTTATCTGAGATTCTGTTGAATAGTGTTTCCCTTTGCAAAAAGGTTTTATAGAGTATTCGTTCCTCACTAGATTGAGTAAGTTAGCTGGAGATTTGGTGCAAGAGCAATGGCTCAGCTATCGTACTATAAAAAACGTCAAAGTATAAAATCTCATGGGTTGATTGATGGACCATTTTAGAGAGCCCCAAGGCATGTTGACAATTCGTTTGCAAAAACCGATCCAATCTGAAACAAAGATAACAAAGGCGTTACAAAAAAAGCAAACTAGTTATTTTCAGAGATAAGGTTATGGGCAATTAAGCTTTATGTGTGTTTTGGCTACATTTACCAACATTTTATACAAATTAATTACTAGCAAGCACAGCTAATAACTTTATAGTTTTCAGTGAAGATCAATAGTTAATTGCTATGAGTTCAAATCAATGTTTCTCGATAATAACAAACAAGTCTAGGTTAATAATTATACATGTATTACGCAATAACCTTGAGAAAAAAAGGCCATATAATCCATACCTTTATAGGTAATGGAATAAACGATCGTTATATGGAAACCATGTCAATATATTCTTATCTATATCGTCCCTCCTCTTATGACTACAATATCTTAAGGAAAAGGACAACCGGACGTTATCTGCGCAATAGACCGCTTTACCTTGCTCTCCTTCAGTCCATGCGTGCTAGCCTTAGGTCATAAACCTTTTCACGAGTCAGTTCATAATAATTTAGACAAAAAAAAGATCGATTCTGAAGGGGTTTCAAACTATGGGATGAGAAATTTCATTTGCATATAAGATAAAAAGGTCGAGTATTGGCCAATTAAACTATCTCATATCGACAAACTTCTTGTACTTTCGCATTTTTTAGATGAGAGGCTTGCTATCACTATAGCTAAATGAGCGTTTGCTAGGAATATTTGAAGTTCTATTAAGTATTATCAAGTGAGCGTAGAAAGTTCGATCTTAACGTTTYGATGACATGATCCAACACTTCCTAAAGTACGTACAATAATACGTTCATATATTCTAATGGACGTTCTTATAAGTATAGCGTTATATATTCATATAACGCCTTAAATTCAAGTGGATTTGCCGGGAAGGATTGCTGGTGTTACGTCTTACCCGGTCTGAGCGTAGGCGCTTTATAGCCGATTAGATTTTTTTTGTAGTGTCTAAACCACCCACACGGAAACGCTAGAGCTAACGTTAATTTCTGATCTGATAGTAAACACGGTCTGAGAACGATCTTGCAAATGGGAGAAATTTTAGCAATCATGTACTATTAAACGTTTTGGTTAACATAGCGCATTATAGCTCTTCGTCGGAAACAAAKTGATAAAAAATAAACACATAGAACTACATCTATTTCAATGTGAYTTATGAGTCTTACTTATGAGAATTGCCACTCGATCAGGTCGACCACATGGAAGCCAAAACCTAGTTTACATGTACCGTCGGTTCCTTGCATTGCCGGAAAGATTCTCACGCGATAAATTTTTTCGGTTCAAAAAAAGTTGAGTTCTGTTTTCCATGACCGCAATGCATTGTCACGTTTGGATTTCATGTAAATGGCCTTACAAAATGATAGTTCTAAATTGCTTTCCATAGGGACAAAGGTCGGGCAAACTCACCCTGACGACCAGCAATGCCGGCATTTTGGTACTATATATATTCTGATTAGTCGAAAACGTTTCTACTTAAAACTTTTAAAACGCCTGAAGTTCTTAAAAACATATATCTTCTGGTTCTCAAAGTTTTTTGAACTAGTTGTATGCGACTTTTAGTATAGTAACATATTAAAGCAAAGCCACTGTGGTATGGTGCTGTCCTACGATTGTCATGTGAGAGTCTTTCCGATGTCGGAGCCGTAATTTTAAGATTTCTGGAGTCGCATCCACTCGTATCCGAAAATATAACAGGAGGAGCCGACTGGGTCTGTTCTTCTTCTGGGAAAGGGATTTTTCTCTCTCAAATGTTTGTAAGGTCAAAAAAGTCTTATATAACGTTTTATGGTCAAAAACGGCTTATATTCTTTTTACAGTTGTGTAAAAAATAAATAAATAAATAAATAAATAAATAAATAAATAAATAAATAAATAAATAAATAAATAAATAAATAAATAAATAAATAAATAAATAAATAAATAAATAAATTTAACAACGTAAAAAATTAGGTGAAATAACTTACTGACGTTTCGGACTTTAATTTTTAGTTAGGGAATTTTCATTTTCCTGGCAAAAATTCTCAGAAAGTATTCCTTGCCAGGAGTTAATTTTTTCCTGAATTTCTCGCTGACAAACAGTTGTCACTTACAGCTRGCTGGGACATAAGAACAACCATCCCAACCCATCGGCTCCTCCTGATATAAGGTAGTAAAAATACTATAGATATGCTTGTATAACTTCAGAATATGGAAAATTGTCGACAAATTTTTTGGGCTKCGTGCTGGAGCATATTCGATTAAATCGCTTTCAAAATACGTTYATATTGTTGCTAATTCCCTCGAGGATACTAGAACAATATACAAATGCGATTAGGGAGATTATAAGGAAACAAGGCCTTAAACATAATGAAAAGTTGGTCAYTGTGTGGACAAGGTTTATATGGAACCATTATAAGCGCTATCAAAGGTAACCGCCGTTACCAGTAACCTAGCTGTTTATACCTTAGATCAATAGCTTTAATAGTCGATTCTATAATCCCAGTGCTATTACAAAATAATAAGCCCGGCTCTGAGTTGACTGGGATCGCATATTTTGAAATCAGCTTAGGAAATTTAAAATAAATTTTAAGAAAATGTACTTTGAGTCCCAGTGGAGTTTCTGGAAATTCTCCAAGAAACTTGAACTGTTGGTTCCTGTTAGTTTTTGTAAATCAATTCGAGAGTAATTTCCATGAAACACATACGCCTTCTACAATTGTTCATAATCAAGAATGCTGACACATGTTACCTGGTCACGTTGCAGAAAATTTGCTTTTTGATGTTTTCGCATTCTTGTTGGTTGCTGTCTTTTAGGACTATTCGTACTCAAAGATATCAGATCCAATCAAACATTTTTGTTAGAATGCAATCTTTTTTWTAAATTTTCTATTCTTGTCTGTGTAGGGGGCCGTGTTAACAATAAWGAGAATTTATAAAACACTTTTTAACAAATRCAATCATTTTCTCTTTTGACATGCTCRATGGAATGGAGAACTAAACACAAATTTCTCGARAATGACATTTTAGACGAGGCCAACTTTAGACTTTCTTTCCCGAATGTAATCAAGTTTTTAATTGAAGAGGAAGAAATTTAATTGCCATATAATCTACACCTCAAACACCCGCATTCATAACTACGGTAGTTCTAGAATAAATGCTCTCATACAGCTTGAATAAACGCCTAGAATACTTTTATTCCTCCAAAATTCTATTTCCATAAGCAATAATGATAACGATAAAAAAATGTTTTAATCTTACTGTTAGTATTCAACATTTTGTTATAATAGATTTCAGTGCAACTAAAACATACAGTGGTCTTATTGAGACATCAGACAAAAAAGACAGTTCCTTTTACGAGCACCAATGAAATCTGATTCACAAATATCTAGATAGAGAATGGTTTAGCCTGAGTTCTGCTCTTCAACCTTGAGAAAAATTATTCAATATACGAAAGAAAGTACTGTTTTTACAGATCCTTGACTTGATAAAAACTGCATGAGACCGAAATCAAAAATACCATAGTTGAATGAAAAACAGGACTGACTTTGGTGCTTCAAAGCATATTGAATTAGCCCGCATTCTTTCTAGAATATATAACATGTATTAATTCACAAACATTTTTTTTTTTACCTTAAAACATGTTGTTTGTGGTCTTTGTCAGTATAGCTTTCAGGTTATGATACAAATGTAACGACCAAGCAGTATTGTTTGAGTTAGATAAAGCTAATAATCTTTGGGGTTTCCTCTTTTTATTGCTTAATTAGCGCTATTTAATCTTCCAACCTTGTGTAGGTATATTGTAGTCCCAAATGCCGCGCCCCAAAACGTGTTATTATTCTCTTAATTTTCTCAGTGAAATAACAAAGAAATGAAAGAAAGACACGAATATGAGAAAATTGCAGCTAGGATTCGTTTTAGGAGATTTTGGGACGATTCGACAGATCATATAGACTGCACCAGACCGTAATCGACACTTTTGTACGTCTGTGTATGTCTATAGTCGAAATGTTACAATGCAAGTGGTGATGTTGGCACGACGAACAAACAGAGGAAACCAATCTAAACAACACTCTTTCTATATGAAAACGCTTTGAAGACTATCACTGATCCTGAAGACTGGTTTTCAGTAAGCGTTCACTACTGTTTTAAGTTCCATTGAGAATTGTGAAAGAAGATGCAATGTCGCTACAGAAAGCATGAAAGCCGTTGTTTTCCATTGCGATAAATTTCTGAGACGGAGAACTTACTGCACATGTCTGGCTTTTCGTCTATTGATTGTGAATTCGAGACAAAAAAAGTGTTTACATTAACACATCGATTGTTAGTCTAATTTTCGTCAGTTTTGACAGCTGAATAAAAGGCATTTTTTCTGTCTACTAAAGATATCATTTCTAGTCTTCCAGGTGGATTTATTATATTTTCTTATCTTTTTCTTACGAATTTTACTTCTTATTTATTTTATTATTATTATTTATTTTATTTTTTATTATTTTATTTTATTTTTTATCATTATATTATCATTTTTTTTGAATGAGTACTATGCTAACAATGTAATTGTGGACGAGCCCTGGATGCACAACCCAGAGATGAAAATCAGAAAGCTTCAAACAATTATTAGCTCATTTATTTTTGTTGTTGTTATTTAATGGTGCAAAGTGTTTAGTATTAGCAGTGTCGTTTTTACTTTTATTGCATTTTTTAAATTAATCATTAATATCATCTTTACCTTGCTTTACTTATAATTATGATTTATCATTATTACCATCAACATCATCATGATTATTAGCATAATAATAATTATCGAATTATTATTACAACTATAGAATGTCAGAACTCCCGTGAAATAGATATTATACTGCATCTTAGCATGCTTTAATTGCATTTTTTATGTATACCTCACTATCACACTTAAATAGTTAATATTTTTTCCATCATTTCTACCAACTAAACCTTTAACATTCTTTTAAAAATATCTTGTATTCACCATTCAGTTATTGTATTCAAAATTATGAAATATTTGATGCATAGCGTGTGTTCTGATAACTGATATCACAGTGATTATTTATTTATACTCTCTTTACAAAAAAAAAACGGATTGAAAGCGGATTTTTGGTGATTTTAAAATACTCCATTTCCCATCATGCTTTTGTTCAGGAGAAAATGGCGCCTTTTCTGAGACTGCTAGGAATTATGGGAACTTTCTCAAAAGCGAAAATTATATTTGTTTTCTACTAGCTTGAAAAGCGAATATTACCGATCATAGACCAATTATTCCTATGTTCGCTATTCTTATAATGCCTGGTATCAGATATCACTGTTTTATTACACAAACTACTGGAAAGGCAACAAGCCGACAAAAGTCAATACAAAACTTTGGATTGTTTACATACAAWGWCMATCAAGTTGGTATATTAAGGATTTCCTTTCCCGGGGTACACAAGATACAAACGATATCACTACAGTATAGGGCCCCAATAAAAAGCTCTTMAGGCGAATCAAGGATAATTTCTTTCAAATGAACAATAACGAAGTTTAAAGACTTCTTTGGTTAGTTTTTTATTTCCGAAACTGCCAAAAGTAAAAAAATTGAAATACAAGAAACGCTTTGAAACAACAGCAAGACGTCCCCTTATAATTTATAATCATAACTTATGGTGTATTCCATAATGGTGCATTCAAAAATTAGACATTTGGCGAACGACAGATCGTCAAGTTATCATCACACAGATGAAAAAATATTAAATTGATGTGCAAATCTAGGAAAGAAGTCGTTGGTACTTAGAAAAAAATACAGAAATTCAAATCATGTATTAATACACACAATTCTTGTTCGTTTTACTAAGATTACATAACGAGAAATACTTTAAAAGCAACTTTTCACGATTTTATCAGTGCACCGCCGTATAGGACTGGATGTTTAAAGTAAGCGCTTACTTTTACAAGCGATTAGTAGATTTTACAGATAAGAAAAACCGTTCATAGCTACGTGACCATACGGCCTATTTCTTTAATCCAGAAGAATAAATTTACAATGAGGTGTCAGTTTTATGCTTAATACAGATTCCCAATAACCAATTCTGGAATTAAAAACGGGGTTGCTCTTAAAATTACTGCACAGTTATGTGAAATTTCAATGACGACTTTTGTAACTGTCAGATAAAAGAACAAATCACTATTTTTTTGATTGATGTTTTAGTAGTTTCTCTTGGTATTGCCGTTCTACTGTTACACTTAGTCGGTTTTCCTCCTTTCTAACTATTCTACAAACTTAAACCAATACTCGTTCCAAAATATGTTAGTCTAGTATTTTCATGGTCTTTTTGTCCTTTTCCTTAGATAAAACTTACCACTGCTCATGATACAATGAATTACTTTTCATACAATAAAAAAACAYAAACAATGAATGCTTTCTTACCTGAATATCGGTATGGGATATCCTGCGCTTCTTGTTTTCCGTCAAAAGTCAAAGAAAAAAAAGTCAAAATCCCGTACTCGTAATGCTAATCCTCTTCTGGTAAGCATATAATTATATAATAACTTGTCCTATGCGAGTGTCATCTCCATAGCGTTCAGTACCAATGTAGAAGGAATTCAGCCCGGCAACCTGCATTTATATCGCCGTCCAGCTTTAACCATCATTTTTTTAAAGGATTCTCTCGAATGTTCTATTCAATTGGCTAAAAAGTTCAATTATGTGAAAACCAGATCATTGTTTTACTGTGGAGGTTATTATCTTCCAATCATGCCTGTGGTTTACGTTAATTATTCATGATCGGTTTGTTAACAACTCCATATATTAGGTGTTTGATTGTATATCGCTCGCACAAACTCATTAATATTGAATGCAGCCAGTTTTTCKTTCGTGCTGGACTCTCTTATTTAGTTCATATTGAGCATATAGAATCGTTATTCAATCTAAAATTAGCCAAAATGAATAGAATTYATTACCAGYGTTATTGAAGTTTTMAAASCATTTTYCGTTCGTTTCCCAGTTATTTCGGGGCATTTCTATCCGATTCCTTTTTTCCTCCTTTCTTCCGGTTTTACGGCTTTTTATTGTTATTGTGATTATATTTTAATTACTCGTCCCAGAGACTTTCGAGGCCCTCCCTCAGTCCCTCTTCTCTTCTTCTCGTCGGCGACATATCAAGGAATTCAAGGAGCGTTTTTGATCTCTTTCATTTGGAATTAGATGYAATTTGTTAAAGACCTCAAGGAAAACGCAGTTTCATTACACATAGACGCCGTGGACTCACATTACGCAACATTTTGACGTCCTTACTTTGATGTAATTATCGATGTACTAAACGCCCACACGCATTGAACAGATCTAATTGTAATAACTCAATATTGCACTACACAGCAGAACACATATTATTAAACACATCTGGACTTATGATACACCAAATCAGGAAAGGTTGGTAGATAGATATAATCCATTGTAATCATCGTCAATTTTATCATCATTATAAAATATTATAAATTTGATATCAATGATAATGAAAAAATAATATTTTTTAAATGATTATATAAACATTAAGTGATTTATCTCAATATTCTAATAATATTTTAAGAAGAATGATATTGATATATAACAGTTTTAGTGATAATAATAATAATAATAATAAAATAATAATAATAATAATAATAATAATAATAATAATAATAATAATAATAATAATAATAATAATAATAATAATAATAATAATAATAATAATAATAATAAGATCCAAGGGGGGGAAGATCCAAGCCTTACATGACTGGTATCAAAACCTTAGCGAAGAGGGACGTAAATTTGGCTACTTGGTGAATATATAATAATAATAACAACAACAACAAAAACAATGAGTTGCATTCTGATTTCCTTTTTCTTCCTTTGTTGCCGCACTGTTTTCGATTTCCTCAAAAAATACAAATTCGGTCCTACAAATAGCACTGTCCAGTCTATATCCTTAACAATTCTTTCAGCGTATAAAATACGGGAATCTAACTTACTATCCAAGACATTTGAAAATAATTCTCTAATTAATAAACAACAAAAGCAAAACAAAAGAGAAACACCCTTCATATCAAGCATCAAACCATAGTACAGATGTTTCTTTTCTCGATACATATTAAAATTGTAACGATCTAGCKAGTTCCTCTCGCGATGACCAACGTTCAGATAGAATAACAAGTTTAAACGTTAATAAAATCACATCTGAACTTAAATCAAAGCTGTATTCAAACAAAACTTTCACTTAGCTTGCACAATTACAAAATGGTCTTGCCTTAATTTGCGTGAAACCGCAAGTGAAAATATAGAAACACAGGCCTTTGAGGTTTCGGTGGGAAGTATCGTCTTCAAGTRCTAAGATAATCAATAACCTTGTCCGTTTGRAATGCGGCTGTCTGCGGTATCTTTTTCAGAATTTCTTTATTTATAGCTTATTCTAATAACCGTGTTAATCACGTTCTTCTAGCCCAAATACTCCGAATAAAAAATACCCACTGAATGACAAAAATAAGCTTTTACAATGTAAAAGAGAAAACTTGAATAAAAAGTAATTATATTTTGTTGCTGCCAAAACTTTTGGACATAATGGCGACGGATTTTAGACTCATGCACACTTTTAATAAGAACAGTACATCCAAGTGAGTTTATATTCCTGGATTTTTTTGAATGATCTGATTTACTATAACACTAGTATCTGTTCCAAGAAATAAAAGCTGGCTTTTGTATGCGCACTCTACGATTTGAGCTTATTTACAGATCTGGCAGGTTTCATGAGGTCTCTCCATAATTGCTTTAGCAACACTAAATTTGTACGCCCATGTTTTATCAGTTACTAACAGTTTCAGYCCAAAATATAATGCCTTTTTRCCTCRAATGTATATTGTATAACTTAATTAKAACAGTTTTAAGCAAGGAAAACTCATCCGAAYGGAACGTGACGTAGAATATGAGCTAAAAATCGATTTTCTTTACATGAGAATACGTGCTAAACAAGAAGTGCAAGTTGACACAGACGCAGATAAAATACGATCAATTTCTTAAACCAACTTCCTACATTGTGTGGACCCGCAAATAAAGTCAACCAACTTTAATTTATATCTCTGATGTACGCTTTTTTAAAGGTTTGGCGGCGTGAATCGATTTGGGGTTGATGTGGTTTCCACTATGCCTCCGTTTCTTCGTGATTTCTTTGGAAATCATATTAGTTTTTGAGTTTAAAGGACGTGTGTAGATTGATCTTTATTAATTTTTCACCTATATTATGACTAGCAGGTGTTCCAGTAGAAATGATTGATCTTGTTACTTTTGAGTCTTCACTGATATCAATAGCGATACAATGATCAAAAAACACATTACGTAACGATGTAAAATTCTAATAAAAATCCATTTAATAAACTTTACAGGACTTTAAACACATTACATTCTATTAACATACTTGTTAAAGACTTAATCAACATAGTTACGTATCTAAATCTACCGTATATATTCTGTAATTAACAGTTGCAAGATTATTATGGGCTGTTCCCCAGGAGCTGTCTACTCTTGCAAACTAGAGAACGAGTCTAAAGAGCTGGTATTGGATCGAACTTGTTGTTAAATAGTCAAAAGACTAAGACTTTACACTTCTATTTGCAACTAACTATACAGAATTAAAGAACAATTTATTATTTTACTGTGTTGCCAGTAAATGAGCAGCTTGCATTGGAATATGTTTAATTAAAATAATGCCCTMAATACTATAATCGAGTTTTCATACGCCTTCATTAATATAATTGAGTTTGTTAGAAGACGAAAAACTTAGGCCCCGCAATGTTCAAAATCCGAGCTTGAAYAAAAAATAGTTCTAACAGAAAACTAACCTGGTGCAAGGTATCGTTTAATATATATTAATATTAATATTATATTTATAAGATGAATAAAAATATTGAAGTTTCGAGGCTTAGAATTAGCGAAAGGCGTCTAGTTTGCAGTGTTGAGAGGTACAGATTCATAAAGGCGAAGTTTCTCTGGAATTGGTGCGGAATTTTAGTGGGCATAGTTGATGTAAAAACATCCTTACAAGCGAGACTGATTATCAATGTTTGATTATCTAAAATGATGTGCCTTGCACTCTCCACTTTTCTTTACTTATTTTAAAGCATTTGAAAGCATCCTTACAAGCGAGACTGATTGTCAAGGTCGTGTGGTTGATTATCTAAAATGATGTGCCTTCCAGTCTGTCAACTTTACTCATTTTAAAGCCCAATGAAACACTGTGTTTCAAGAAGAAATTAGAAAGTGCTGCAGCATGCATAAAAGATCAAAAGTCGAAGTTTTAAATTTAAGTAGGCAATAAAAACTTAACAAACAAGTGTGGAAAACTTGTTAAGCAGTAAGCACTAACTTATTTAAAAGTAGTTGTCTTTGAGTTCTATAATAACTTTGAAATAGTGAGCACAGATGTAGTCAAGTGTTAATTACGAAAAGGATGTACTATTTTAGGGTCGAACCGAACCGCAATCATGTTAAAATAAGTATATATATTTCTTTTACTAATGCAAGAGCATAGATATAACTTTTCACGATAATAAATGACTAGTTTACTACAAAATGYACTGAAGAATATGCGAAATTATCCTGGAAAGTTCGTGAATTATTGAAATGACTATAATGTTGTCTCATAGCTTAAAACCCTTCAAACATCATGTCAACTTACAGAATAGTCACAGGACCATGGAGAAATTCTGTAAATAATTTTTTATAATATCTTAGAACTCTGTAAATTGAATATGATGATCTTTTACAAGCACTCRACTTCGCTTTGTGYTTCTCTGATGATAATTCTCTTGCGTGCGCGCGTCTTTCAGGATTCTTCAGCAATCATTGGCTAGTTTTTATGGTAGCTGGCATGCAGGCCAAATGATTAACATGCAACCTACCTTGCAAATTATCAAAATAAGGTTTAAAAATAGAAATTACATCGGCTTTATRGAATATAATGTATTTACTTTTAGAATTCTTTGTCARCCYTTGTGTCAATGCTTTGGTCTTGGACGTTAGGCGTTTTATTTAACTAAAAGTAATTACACCCTTATTTTGACTGTTCTACCAACACTAAGTCCAACGTCAAAGTAGCTTCATTGGGTAGACAGCCTTCTTCACCCAAGGTGAAAGAGAAAATACTTTTTAATCTCTTGGAAGCTGAGGAAATCATTGTGAATTTYATGCAATGAAATTTAAGGTTCGTTTCATCGATGAAATGAAAATATTTGATTTTACGGGTATTGACATGTAAACTAATAATGACATATTAAGCTCGTATTTGAAAAGTACTGATTATTATTGCAGAATTTATTGCATAAAAACGAAAAAAGAAAAAAAATTAAGTCAGACATCCAAATATTCTTTCAAATCGAATAAATAAGTGCTAAAATTTGTGATAAAACCTACACATTTGTCGTCAAATGCATCGCAATATTGTTCCAAAACACAGACACAACAGGTTGACAGTGACAAACAGCAAAACAAAGGATTCATTCATAAGCGAGAATTAAACCTACCTATGTACTCTTAGTTAATTCTTCTCTAATAAATCACCCATGCAAATTCGTAGCAAATGACTTCCACATTTTCCACAGAGATTTTTATACTTAAACATTATTTAGTTAAACTTTAGAGGCCCTACAGCCCGAATTGAAATGCCCAGGGACTTAGTGGTTAGACGGAGATTTAAAAGCAGTGAGGAATTTTGGCGTGGAATGAGCGATGCAGCGCGACGTGAAGTCTTAAATTAGCTTAACAAGACTTAAGTTACTTAACACAAATTATATAATTTTAATAAAAATAGTAATAAGAGGACAAACTATCGAAGTACAAAAGTGCAATAGTGAATTGAAAAAGTTCATACTAACTGTATCATTCTGTCATTTTTCACTCTTTCATCCTAGGTTTTTTTATTGTACATTTTTCCGTAGGTTATAATGTTCAAGGTCGCACCGCCCCTCAATTTCAAACCACAAATACACTGCAAATCTTTTAGGGTCGAAGYGCTAACAAACAGTGGGCTTCCTGTGGTAGATCTACTGCGGAACCCTGAGCAACTCTCCAAAAATAAAAAATAAAAATAAAAGAATTTAAAAATGTAAAAAAATCGCCCCAAATCACCTGACATCGCCTAAAATGACCAAAACMGCGATCGAATGTTTCCTAAAATTCGTTCGAAAGTTACTATAMAAATC